CATCCAGAGAGGCAGCATCGATCGGCTTCAGTTAGCAGCAGTAGCGAAGGAATCACTCGATCGGGTTCGGTTTGCAGCCATCGACCGATCGCTCAGGTTCAGTAACGTGTAGCCTGCAGTGCAATCGCTCGGGTTCAGTTAAAGCCCAATGCCTCTTTCGGGTTCAGTTAGAGCCAACGCCTCGCACACACGCGCGTATATGTATGAGAGAAACGCGCATCGCTCGGCCCCCGACCACCCACCGTAACCGGGAACTCCCCGAAATTTTCCTCGCCCTCGCTTCTACCACGGTTTTTGTCCGTCATGGACGGCCCAAAGAATGTCATGCAGCTGCGTCTCCAGCCCGCCCAGGACGAAAAGCCCATTTTCTGTCATGATTTTTTGTCATAGAAGTAGGAGCCCACCACATCTATGATGATACCGGGTTTTGTCACAATTATCGTTATAGAAGTGTCATATGTATGACAGAAAAAAATTCGTTCGGCCCAAAATGTCATGGATGTGTCTTTTTTTGTAGTGATTACAATCCCAAAAATCATATAAGCTAGACCTAAAAGAATGTTTAGCTAAAAAGTCGACAATCTGATTGGCTTCTCTGCAACAAAAGCAGTAGCTAACATTTTCGAAATATGTAGCAAGGAGGATACATTCCGCTAGTACCGCCACATCAGGCCCCAAATAATCATTTGAATGTGTAATTGCTTTCACTGCGAGCATACTGTCGGATTCAGTGATCATCTTATCGCATCCAATGTTTCGTGCCAAGAACAGACCGTTCCGGATTGCACTCATTCCGGCAAATTCTACGTTACTAACATGTGGCAAGACCCAGGTCGCGACACCTATGAAGTTTCCTTTGTAGTCTCGCGCCACCGCTCCGCTAGAGCCAGAGAGTGTCTCAGCATGAAAAGACACATCAACATTGATCTTTACAGTCCCCTCCATCTGTTTCTTCCAAGTATGAATTTCCTTACGGATAGGGTGATCAGTGTTGCTGCTTGAACAAAATTAGTTGCCAAAACTCGATCTGGAACAGTTGTACGGTCTAGCGACTATATATTTTCTCCTTTAGAAACTTTCCACCAATGTACCACATAACAATCAAGATTAATTTAGTCGTAGGTTGATCGTCTACTCTCGCCCGATTTTTCAATAAGATTTCCAATGTAACAGAACCAGAACAATCCTAAGCCACCGCCTGTTGTATAGTATCATTGAGTCAAATTTCTGTCCAAACCTTCTCTGCATACTCACAGCTGAATAGGGTGTGCTGGATGTCTTCATGCCCAATTCCGCACCTTGGGGGCATTGGGGGTAAGACTGGGATGTGTGGTCTGGCCAGTACACCTAATCACAAACATCACACCTTTAAGGACCCTCCACCCGAAGTGTTTAATCTTGCCTGGTAGTTGAAGCTGCTAGGTTCCTGATCTGGTTTGATGCCAAGCTACAAAGTCATCTATAGCCTTAGTCCAGAGAGGAATTTGTAAGATTCTGTTTGTATCCATGGGCCAAAAAACGGACCTTATGAGATCAACATTCCATTGTCCCTTATAAGGATCTATATTTTCCTCCACTTTGGTTAGCATCGTTCCCTCTATTGGGGTGATAATTCTCCAAGATTCACTAGAGGGAGTCCAGGGGTCTTTCCAAATATTTATTTGCAAGCCCGAACCTACTCGCCATATGCAACCTGTTTTGAATGTCTGAATACCGGTCACAATACTTTGCCATGTGAACAATGATCCTTTCTTCGGTCCAACCTTTAGAATGTCCCTATTAGAACAGTACTAGCAAAAGGGCCCGCGCCTTGCAACGGGAGATTTTTTTTTCATAATCTCCGATGGCCATGACCACCTTTTGCTGTATCGCGGAGATATACTACCACTCTCAATTTCGTAAAATCATGAACAATTTTTGAAACCATGAAAACAATTAAAATCGTGCACAAATTTGAAAGCGTGAACATTTTTCAAATTCGTGAACACTTTTACACATTTTCAAAAATCAAGAACATTTTTTGAATTCATGAATATTTTATACTATTTATAAACATTTTTGAACAAGTTTTTTGAATCAGCAAACATTTCTAGAATCGAAGAACATTCTTTTGGAAATTGGTGGAACCATTTCTGAAATTCACAAACATTTTTTTGATTTAACGAACATTTTTTTGATTTAACAAACATTTTTTTAAATGCATGACCATTTTCTGAATCAGCGAATTAATAAACTATTTTTAAGTCATGAACAATTTTCTAATTTTGAGGATATTTTTTCATTCATGCACATTTTTTGAATTGGCGAAATTTTGTTCAATTTCATTAACTTTTTTAATACACGAACTTTTTAAAAAATCATGAACACTTTTGATTTCCCGAACACTTATTTGAAAAATTACGAACATTTTTTGATATCAAAAACATTTTTGAATCCACAAATATTTTATGATTTATTAAATATATTGTTTAAAAATTCTTGTTTTTCGAAATTTTTGTAACATTTTTGAAGTCCTAAATAATTTAATGTAGTAAAATATGAAATCATAAAAAAATAGAAAAAAACCAAATTTAGAAAACAGGCCGCCCGGATATGGGCCCACCCAAACTGGCTCACTGTGTCTTCTCCCAGCGCGCAGAGCGCGGCATAGGAGGTCCCTACTGTATGGGCCGGCCCAAGCGGGGGGATTTCCCTGTGTGAAACATTTTATTATCACTTATAGGTGGCATTGATGGGTAATATTTTGCCACTTCAGGGGCAATTTGCGTGGCGTACCGCTAGAAGCAATAGCCTCATTTTTATTTGATATAGATATAGATGCACAAAGAGATTTCGGATATTTGAGTAGTCGTCAACATTGCTTTGCTAATATATAGGTTTTTTTTTTGAGAAAATATATAGGTAGTCTTGACAGTCTGCACTTGTTTGACTGGGCCATTTGAATGATGAAGTCTCGAAAAAAGGGGGCCATATTGGGCCTATGTTCATATGGGCTAAAACTCTATTCTCCTAAGATTAAACCCAAAATATTTTAGACCGGCACTCTTTGGCGAGCCACATTTGGGCAGCGGTAAAACATGTCCAAAGTCCAGGCTCACTCGTCAGGCACCAATTTTGTCCAGGTATCCCACCAAACCAAAGCCCTAAATCCCTCTTTCGGAAGATAGGAGCCGCCCCCTTTCGTCGTCGCCGCCATCGCCGTTCTACAGCTGCCGCCATGCCGTACCTCCAGCCCCCGCGCCCCCACCCCCACCCCCACCCGACCTCCCGCCTCTCGCGCGCGTCGCCGCCGTCGCCGTTCCCGTTCTTCCCCGCCGGGACATCGCGCTCCGGTCGTCTCCAACCCGTCCCAGTCTCCGGCCACTCGGCCTCGAGGTACGGGTTTGTTTCCTTCCGGCGATTAGCCACTCACCATTTTTGGGCTTGCCGGCACACCATCAACACCGGCACCTGTGTGTGGGCTACTAAAATCGAAACAGCTTGAGAGTATTTCTGTGTGAATTTCAGCTTTGGGTTCCAGGATTTGTTGGGTCACTTGATGCTAATCATTGAGATTGGGTAAAATAGAGATTTAGGGCCTGTTCGGAGACCCGCCGCTCCATGAGGCCGCTCCCGGAGCGGGCGGAGTTTCAGTTAGAAATCGTGGAGCGCGCATGTAGGTACTCCACAGATTCCGAAATTTCAGGGAGCAGGTGGATATCCGAACATGCCCTTAATGCCTGTTCAGTTCCTCTCCGCTCCCTCGATTGCACTCCCGGAGCGGAGCAGGCTGCAGCTCATTTTCCCGGAGCGGCTCAAACCGAGCTCCACAGCTCCGCGGAGTGGAGAGATTCCGAACAGGCCTTTAATGATTACTTCTATTTCTAGACTCAGAATAGTTACTGTATTTATTTGGGAGCCTAAAATAAAGGATAACGACGACCCGTCTTTGCTCTTATCTTGGATTAGTTGGCAGCAAACGTGTGGGGGGCTGTTTGGCTGACGGCTGTACAACTATTTCAGTGTGAAGGTTGCTTCTCTTTTTCTAAATTAAGGAAGCATATTTTAGACTAGCAATTTAGCAAGTACGAGTGACTAGACAATGCTGTGGTGGTTGTTTCAGTCTGTATTTGAGCTGTCATTATTCAGACTTTGTGATGCCTTCATTTCTGTTAATGAAAACCTGAAGCCTTGAAGCCTCTTGCTCGAAAAAAGAAGAAACTAGTTGCAGTAGGCAATGCCAACTTGTTTCCTGAGCCACATGCATCACGGTCTTTGTAGTTTGCACTTGTTTTATTCAAGAGCGTATTTTAGGCTAGCAACTTAGCAAGCAGTAGGATTATGCATGCTGTGGTGGTTGGTTCAGTCTATATTTGAGCTGCCTTTAGTCAGACTTTGTGAATCGTGATTTCTGTCAATGGAAGCTTTGAAGCCTCTTGCTCATAGAAAGAAGAAACAAGTAGCTGTACCCACTGCCAACTTGTTTCCGGAGCCACATGCAGCTTGGTAGGTAAACACAAGAAGGTTCCATTAGTCTTGGTAGTCTGCACTTGTTTTATTCAAGAGGCTGTATATTTTAGAAGGAAAGAGGCTGTATTTGCAGTATGTCTACATCCTACAATATGTACAACTTCCCATCTCGATTATTCAGGATTGTGATCGTTTTGATATGTGTACTTTTCCTTCAATCATCGGGACTAGGATGGGTTTTAGCTCTCTTTTTTCGCGCATTAGTTTTACCTCATTTACTCTGCCTATATTCTGCTTTACTTCTGAAAGCAACACACTAATACCAAAAAGTGCTTGTACAGGGTTAGTAAAGGAAAGTTTGCAGTTGCAGCCGTCACTCTAGATGATTATCTTCCGATGCGAAGTACTGAAGTGAAAAACCGGTGACTTGTTTTCTAAAATATGAAAGCATTAGTTTCTTGTTCTATTCATTTCATCATAGATTTGCTAATACTTTTAGGTTGATGACATTGAACAAGCTGTTAATTTTCTTGTATACTGTAAGCTAACAACAATGAACTCTGTTTTGTCCTGGGATTATATGACTCGGTTAAATTTGTATTTTGGACCTTCTATTTCCCCACTGCCTCATTTTAAAATTTAGGATGTTTTGGGAACTTCTGCTTTTAATGACAACTGCCCTTAGCTTTTATTATCGCCGTTCATTTAGGTCAAAGTAAAAAAGGTATTCCTACTTATTGATGGAGATTAAGTCCATTTGACCTATTTTTAGATGTCATAGTAGTACAATGGCAGAACGGATACAGTCTTTAGGGCCAAATGCTTTACTAGCACAACATATGATGATCATGTTTGTCCCCTACCATTGGCTGATGCATGGGAGGAATACGACAACTCCCTAAAGGTACCACGAAGCATAAAAATGAAATAAATTTTGTTTTATCAGAGACAAGGGAGGGAAGGATGCGGGGAAAAGATGTCAACATATTGTGTAGTTTTAACACCAGGGCTCATTTGTATAAGTTCTCATTTTCCCTAATGTACCACTCTAGTGAATGACAACATGACCAAGAATAACTGTTTAGCTAATAGAGAAACGTAGAATGTTATTATTATCTTCCTTTATCAAGTCAGTTCTGTGAAAGTAACCTAGTTTTGGTGAATTATCCCTTGTCTCGATAAGGTAATCAATTGTTGTAGTTGGGAGAGTTTTAAACTAAAGAGTCTGGGCTGGAAAAAAATGTATAATCTGTTATATGCTTTGTTCATTCTGCTACTGGTACAATCCTGGTGAATGAGTAACCGAACGATTCTGTTTCTTAGTAGTCACATGACTAACATGGACCATAATGTTTGCACACAAGTATTTAATGGCTTTGATACACGTGTGCTGCTCATGTCTGATATTTCTCTGTCTGATGTGCAGGACATCAACAGATGGAATCAAAAGCCTCAGACTAATCACAGCGGTCAAAACCCCCTATTTGCCAGATGGAAGATTTGATCTTGAAGCATACGATTCTCTGATAAACACGCAAATAAATGGCGGTGCGGAAGGTGTAATAGTTGGAGGAACAACAGGAGAAGGTCACCTCATGAGCTGGGATGAGCACATCATGCTCATCGGGCATACTGTTAACTGCTTTGGAGCCAACATTAAAGTGATAGGCAACACGGGAAGTAACTCAACCAGAGAAGCTGTTCACGCGACAGAGCAGGGATTTGCTGTTGGCATGCATGCAGCTCTTCATGTCAATCCTTACTACGGGAAGACCTCAACTGAAGGCCTGATCTCTCATTTTAAGGAAGTCCTCCCGATGGGCCCAACAATCATTTACAACGTGCCATCCAGGACAAGTCAGGACATACCTCCACCAGTCATTGAGGCGCTTTCATGTTACTCAAACATGGCAGGAGTGAAAGAATGTGTCGGACATGAGCGGGTTAAGTGCTACACCGACAAAGGCATATCAATATGGAGCGGCAACGATGATGAATGTCATGACTCAAGGTGGAAGTATGGCGCTACTGGAGTCATTTCTGTGGCGAGCAACCTTGTTCCCGGTCTCATGCATAGCCTCATGTTTGAAGGGGAGAATGCGGCGCTAAATGAGAAGCTACTGCCTCTGATGAAATGGCTGTTCTGCGAGCCTAACCCGATCGGTCTCAACACCGCCCTGGCTCAGCTCGGCGTGGTGAGACCTGTTTTCAGGTTGCCGTACACTCCCCTTCCTCTTGAGAAGAGGGTGGAGTTTGTCCGGATTGTCGAAGCCATTGGACGTGAGAACTTTGTGGGACAGAAGGAGTCCCGGGTTCTGGATGACGATGATTTCGTGTTGATCAGCAGGTATTGAATATGTGTGTGAGTTCTTTGTGTCCAGTGTATGCTGACGAACAGCGGTAGTGTCACAGTGTTGTTTGCGGATCGTTTAGACGCTTCGTTTGTTCACCAGTCATTTGTTGATCTTTTTCTCTGACTGCATGTTAATTTGGAACCCGTTTGGTTTCTTGGCACCTTGTGATACCAGTTCCAGTAAGATATGAGAATAGCTTGAGACATGTACAGTCGGGTTGTTACATTTTGATGTTTTGTGCCAGATTCAACCATTTGCTGGGAGTCAGTCAATCCACTCTTCACTGCCCTTCCTCTTGCATTGGCGCGCACATTACATCCACATGGCATCACTCGTATCAACAGCAAATTCGCGCTAGGCTTGGATGGAATTTTCATCTCGAATTTCCAGCCTTTTAAGCTTCGACTCGAATGGCTAGCTTACAGGTTGGAACGAAGCAGCAGGTGTAGTCTTTCTTGGCGTCGGCGGTGCTGCTGCTGCTGAGACGTCAGTCTCCCACCCTGGAACTGCTAAAGCAAGACAAAAATATACTCCCTCCGTCCCGAAATTCATGTCGCGGGCGCAGTACAGTGTACATTTTGCGAAAAACACCTCACAATTTTAAAACAGTAGCAAGCACGTCCTTGACTCCTTCTGCTTCCTCTGTCCGCCGCCCGTGCGTCGCCAGGGGCCGGCGCCGCGGGATTCCGCCGCCGTGCTGGAGATTCCTGCACTCACGGCTCACCCGCAACCACGCGCCGCCGCCCACCCGCCACCAGCTGCCCGCGGATTCCGCCGCCCAACGCCGCGACCACCAGGCGAGCTGGTCCTCGATCCGTCGCGACCACCTGCGTGATAACGCCGCCCACCTGCGCGACCAGCCACTGCGGCGCCGCCCACCTCGACCTGCACCGCTGCCAACCTCCGCGGTTCGGTCGCGATACTTCCCCGTGCCCCGTCTCTGCTGCTGGGAGACTCGGATCGTCGGCCCCGTCTCTGCTGCTGGGAGATTCCGATCGCCGGCCCAGTCTCTCCTTCCCCTCCGGCTCCTTCCTAGTCGACTGTGTTGCCCCCCGACGCCTACTGCTGCTTCTGCTTCTGCTTCAACCAAACGAACTCTGCTGCTGCTTCTAATTGTCCTGCTTCGAGCAAAATTTAGTGGAATTGCCCGGCCTCTGCTGCTGCTGCTAGGTAGGTAGTCCTGCGAAATTGGTAATGTTAGTTTGGAAACATTCAATCATGTTAATTATGGAAACATTCAATCATGTTAATTATGGAAACATTAGATCAGGAAATGGGATTTTGTTACTTTTGGAAACATTCAATCATGTTAATTATGGAAAAATTAGATCAGGAAATGAATTTTGTTAATTTTGGAAACAATTCAACCATGTTAACTTCGGAAACATTCAATCAGACAAGATTTTGGCAACTGGAATTACTACGGCATGGATTATGGACTCTCACCTGATCATCATCTATGTTCAGGTTCTAAAAATATTCAATCAGACAGTTTGGACTTGTGGCTGTACTTTGCAATTTAAATATGTTCAGGTTGTAAAAATGGGACAGCAGTATAACATCAAGCAAAACTCTTGCAAATTTTCAGTTTCGACAGTGTCAAAGCATACAGTAGTTTTGACAGTAATTTTGATAATTCAAGCAAATTAATTTTTACAACCTGATAATTTTGATAATTCCAAACAAAGAGTTGGGGCATGCCTGTTTGATAAACCACTCTAAAAAAATGACCTGTAATTTTGTCATTTACTCCAAATCACGAAGAAAAGATACGAAAACCATATGTCCAAAGCATGAATCACAACAAGAAACTCTAAAGTTGAATGATGTGAAGTGAATGAACTAAAGAAGGACCAAGCATGTTGTGTGTTGTATGTCAGGTTTCAGTTAATCTTCTGTATGAACTAAAGAAGTGAATGATGTAAACAGAGCTTGATCCCCAGGTTTCAGGTTTCAGGATGTAGAAAGTTCACTTAACATAGTTATTGATCACCTAGTCAAGTCTGTGATCACCTAGTCTGTGATGTGACAAATGGAGGAGCATCAACCTGCACCTGTCTGACGATGCATTTTTGGGGGTTCACATATCATACAAGTTCAGAGATAAAAACAAGATCTCCTAACAATCTACTCTAGGATAAAAATATAACTCTGTTTAGTGCTAGCTTTCTTCCTAACAAAGTTACTGCTCCTAAATATGGACACACTTTTTTTTTGATTTACACAAGATCTCAGAGTGAAGGACACTATGGGGTACTCCTACTCCTAATGTAGTTGCAGCTACTCCTATTCCTTCTTCTACTCTAGCTGCAGTAAGCAATATCACCAGCCAAACAATATCTGCAGTAGTATCTCAACAAGCAGTACTAGCTGCTATGGAAGCGGCCATGGATGCATCAAACAAATTTAAACGATGCTGCTATTCAAAAATTAGATGGAAAAAGCTCGAGATAATTGATCATGACTACTGTCACATGACAGATTACTCCTGTACAGTACTGTGCCATTTTTTAAGTGCAGACTAAATTCTATAAGTGCACGCTAATTCTAGAAGTGCAGACTTTTAGTTGTGAGATTATACAACAGGAACATTCAGTCTCTAATTCAGATGTTTGCAGTTGAAAATGCAGCAATTCATGAATCACCTGAATCAATCCAGACCACTGCCGAAGATGTCCTTGAACTGCCACTCCTTCCACCTGAAGATGTTGCTACTCCTTCAAAGCACAAACTTTCAGACCAGAGCATGCAGCAATCCAACAGAAGATTTCGCCACTCCTTAAACTGCCACTACACACACCCAATCGTCGGCCTTGAGCGAAGCCGACTTGTTCCTCACATCAAACTCCTGTAGAAATCCAAGAAGATGAAGAAATTGGGTGGACATGGCCCGACCAATCCAAGACGATAAAGAAGAAATTGCAATGGGCGCAGTAGATCGAAGGGAGGAGAAGTGGAAAAAGGAGACCTTTGACTCCGGCGGGCTCCTGGGTGAGCTCCTCCACCTGCCTCTTTGCGATCCGCCGAGCAGCCGCCGCGCAAGGAGTGCTAGAAAGGAGGGATCCCGTCCGCCGTGCCCCGCCGCCGCGCAAGGAGTACACACATGGCCGTCGGACAGGAGCAGCAGAAGGATCGACAAAAAAAATGCATGCTTCACGTTGGGGAACGAGGTGGGGAACGAGGCGGCGTGGGGCATGGGGCGGGAGGAGTGGTGCCAGTGGGGGCGGCGTGGGCCGGGATGGGTGGTGGTGGAGAGGGGCGGCGGGGGCGGAATTGGGCGGCAAGACGGCGCCCGTCGTCGGGAGGGGTGGTGGTGGAGAGGGGCGGAGAGAGAGGAAGAAGAGGGACCTCGGGTTCAGTCGGGAAAAAGCCGAGTACTAAATTGCAAATATCCACTTGCGACAAGAATTACGGGCGGAGGGAGTACATGCTATAGCTCTAGCTCTGCATCAAAGCTGCTCTAGCTCTGCATGTTCAGCATGGATGTTCAGTTAGGGCATGTACAATGGTGGCATATGGATACATATGCCCCGTGATAAAAAATAATTTAAAGCATTTATATTAATTTTTCCTCTCCAATGCAAGCTATCACTAGTGAGCCTCATTAAGAAATAAAAAATAAAGACTCTAGTACACATGCATCTCTACTTTTCACTCCAACCTTTTCAGCTTTTCAGCTTTTTCTCTTCAAGCACCCGCCTCCTGAAGAGGATCCTGCTTCCCTATCCGAACCTACTTTACGTCATATCCGATCCTACATGGCATGCGAGGCATCACCTTGAGGCTATGCATTGTACATGCCCTTACGAGACTTCGGAAACATCTGTCAAAGCTGCTCTAGCTCTGTATCAAGGCTGTAGAAGTAGGAGTGTCATGTCAACACTCTTCAATGTTTAAGCAATGCGTTACTCCGTTGGGGACATCAGTTTCTAGGTTAAAACTTATACTCCCTCCGTTTAGGTGTGTAAGTCATCTTACGAAAACCAAATAATCCCAAAACACTTAGGTGCGTGCATTAAATTCTACCTCGTTTCTTGTTTCTTGACATATCAACCAATAAGAGAAGTAAGGTGTCCATGCTTTTAATGACTTAAGACTACCAAATACGACATGTAGTGGTTAGTTCATTGCATGCAATGCTATTAATTAGCAAATGAACATTAAGTTTTCTTGTTTTCCCCTCCTCCTTGATCACGGTGCACAACCTAAAATGACTTACTCACCTAGACAGAGGGAGTAATTAATATTGTATGAGTTTACTACAATCTCTCTCAGTTTATAGGGCGTGCACGTACCCCTAGGTCGTCAATTTGATCAATCTAATACAAGTCATATATTACAAAAAATATACCAATATAAACTTCAGATGTTCTATTTTCAAATGGTATAAATTCTGTGTTATATAGTTTATATTAGAGTGATGAAATTGACAACCTAAGTATACGCGCATGACTTGTAAACTGAAACGGAGGGAGTAGCACATATGTCCGTGCGTTGCAACGGGTAAAAATTTGATGTGACATCAAAACGCCCATCAGATAACAACATCCTCGGAGGCAGGGGGACACATGCCGAGGTGTAGAAGAAATGAATATCAGGCTTTAATTGCCATTAACTGCGGTGGATGCATGTCATGGCCACTGTATGAGTAGTAATGTTGCATGGTCAATTTTCTTTTAATCCTTGTATGTAAGAATTTAATGCATCTCATAATCTAAACAAATGAGGGAAAGCAATAAAAATAGAACTTACAAACAAAAAAGATAATGAGGTAGGACAAAGCGGAATGAGGGACATTATGTATTATACCCGACATTTATGTTATACTCCTTGGGAGGCATTCTGAATCGCCGGTGGTAAGATACACTTATGTTGCATATATACCCGTGCGTTGCAACAGGGAAAACTGATGTGTTCATCAAAACACTCATCAGCGTGGCATGACAGCATCCGCGCATGCTGAGTTGTAGAAGAAATGTATATCATGCTTTAATCTCCAT